CATTATCCATTGAAATTGACATTATTTTATCACTAATGCAAAAATATCTACAAATATATGTAACTGTACTAGCAATAAACTGTCATGTGTGACGTGAATTAATTATTCTATAAGAAATAATGCACTTTTGCATTATCCAATCCTCATTAATCCAATGACTGGTAACAGTAAGGTAATCACAGTCGTTACCACTTTTACCAATATCAGTTATAATAGCAACACGACAATTTATATGAGTAAATAAATAGCGCAAATATTATTTATATTTATAAATATCGCTCTTTACGGTTGTGCGAGGAAAACCTTTATAAGTAGTATTAAAAAAAATTCTAATATAATGCACAAAATTAGGGTCAGAAGGAAAACTATAGGGTAAACGCATAACAGTTATCATTTTGCCAATTCTTTCTGATATTTTTTTGGATCATAATATAAAATATCACCGGTAACAGTGTTAATTCCCGATTGAAATTGATTTGAACCAGTACTAGGGTCAACCTGACTAGGAGTAGGTAGACTTTTTCCCTCGGCCAAAGCTTTCAGACGAAGATATCTCACTCTATCTTAAGGGTATTTATATTTATAAATATCGCTCTTTACGGTTGTGCGAGGAAAACCTTTATAAGTAGTATTACAATTTTTTTTAATATAATGCACAAAATTAGGGTTAGAAGGAAAACTATAGGGCAAATGCATAACATTTATCANAAAACTAACTCCGTGCCACAAGTTTTACACTTAGCCTTATTTTCTGAAATTAGTTGAGTAAAAAATGGCCAAACGGGAGATGTTTCCGTCCATTTGCTAGGTTGTCTAGAAAAAGTATGGGTAGTAACAGGAATATCAGATGGGCATCATTTGGATTAGCAGGGTTATCACTAGTTGGGTTAACATCAGGAGCATGACTAGTTGGTGTATCATCATCCGGTTGAGTTTCATCAAAATCTATTTCCTCGCCATCATTTTCATCAATAATTAGATTAGAATAAAGAGCATTCATTAATTCATGGTCTAATTGTTCACCAGCTCTAATATTATGGCAAAATTGACTTTCAGTAAATTGTAATAAACTATTATCGCTATCAAGAATAACAGGTGTAGGACGGATATGGAGTTTGATTTGGGGAGCCCAGGGCAGTGGAGGAGGAACAGATTGAGCACTAGATTCGTCATTCTTGGATTTTCCTTTTTTTTACCAAAAAGTTTTTTTAAGGAAGTCATCTTAATTAATAAAGTAATAGAAAATAAATAAAACAAATAAAATTATAATATTAAAACTTAAGAGTTGGAACGAGTTTACCGAATTGACGAACAACTTGTTAAAAATTGATTATCATTGAAGACTTCAATTCACCAATTTCACAATTGTTTCACAAATTGTAACAATAAAGTAAGCAATAGTAGCAATTATAGAAGAAAATTAGAGAGAGATTGTGAAAGATTAATAATTTTGTAAGAAAAAATGAAAGAATGAGGGGGTATTTATAGTTGAAAATAGAGAAAAAGTGTAATTATAAAAAGTTTTGGATTAAAACAAAGTTGAGGGGTTAAACGGTTATTTTATAAATAGCCAACGACTATTTTTGACAGCCCAACGGCTATTTTTTTTTAATTTTTTTTTTTTAAAAAAAAATATAGCCTTTGGGACCGTTTGGCCCGCTAAGGGCTAAATGGTCCCGGGCCTGCGGGCCCAAATCATAGGATCGGCCCACGAGACCGGCCTAGGCCCACTAAAACCGGGTCAAACGGTCCTGACCCGTTTAGCCCGTTTGGCCCGCAGTCCCGGGCCTGGACCGGCCCACTTGCCACCCTTACTATTGACCATGGCTTGGTACAAGTAATCAAAACTTTGAAGGGGGAAGAAAATTGAGTTTTATTGGATAAGAGAATGTATTTTTTTTTTTTTGGTAACAGGGAAAACCCGCCGCCGCTACAATCTCTACTGCAGCCTCTGCCCTTCGGGTGAGCACTTTGTGCGCACTAGATAAATCTTTCCATGTGTAATAGCATGCAAACCACACAGGGAATGTAAACCGCACTAGGCAAGCCCTGTGCGAAAGACTCAACCCATAAGACATTAAGGGAAGATTCGATCCCAGATCATTTGTATCCTTCCAAACCAACTAGGCAACTCGAACGGTTAGTATGCAATAATTTATGATGAATTAAATGGAAGTAAAAGAGGGAACCTGAATAAATAAATAAATAAATAAAACCAACTCCATTGAATGGGGTGAGCAAGTGGCATAGTCAATTATTAGCAGGGTATGGTGTCACCTTCTCGTTTTACTATTTTAATATATATACACCCACCGCAAAAGAGTGTATGAAATATTAGAATTTTCAATACTTTTAATCCAATGTATTTTTCCTTCTTTTTGGGTTTGAGTTTTTCTTTTCGTTTCAATTTTAGGTGGCAAATGATTAGGACCATAAGCCAATATTTATTATTAGTAGTGGCTACTTAATCTGAATGGGATCCTTAATTTGCGGCATTGGAAGTGCTTGGCCAGTAACTAATTGAATATTTTTCCTTTTTTTTAATTATAAAAATAGGATTTAATTCTTGAATTGTTCATTCAAAAATTGCCAAAGATCTTTGAACAATAGCTCCGGTTAGCTTGGTGTTTGTTTGAACAGTTTTTACTAAAAGTGTTGTAATATATATATATTTTTTTTTGTTATTTATTATTTTAAAAATAAAACTTTACTCACATCGAGTGTTTATATCAAATCAATAAATATAATTTATATATGATTAAGCGATATGCATTTTTATTTTGAATCGTTGATTCTTGCAGTTAGTTATTTAGTTATGCATGAATATCCGGTGCGAATAAGTATTTATCATCAGAGTTGGAGTCAGGATATCAACTCTATGGGTTCTTGATTATGAACAACGACATCAAGTGTTATTGACTGAATCCTAAATTTAATATTTATATATATTTAATTAATTTTTTAATATAAAATACATCGTTTAAGTAAAAATAACTTCGTTTGGATGAACCCATAGCGCGACATGTGCCCCGCCCGCTTATCATGTTTTAAAGCATATTTCTACACATAAACTTAGAAAGGAAATGAATTGCTTAAAATAACAAATATACATCAGGGCATGTTGTCACCTTTTCGTTTTACTGTTTTATATCAATGCACCAACCAAAAATTCGTTTTTATTTTTTAAGGGCATGTTTGGACATAAAATTTGATGGAAGATTTTTTCGAAAAAAATTTACTTTTTTTCGAAATCAGCGTTTGTTTGTAAAAGTTTCAATTTTCACTTGAAGATACATTTTGAAAATTTTCGAAAATTTAAAAAATTGCAAAAATATATTTTTCAAAATTTTCACTCAAATCACTCACAAAACTTCAAAAACAACCCAAACTGAAATTTATGTCCAAACATAACTCTAAATTTCAAATATCATTTTCATTTGAAAAAAAAAGTCACCGTTTTTTTGAATTTTACAATTCTTATGTCCAAACGCCTACTAAAAATCCAACCTCTTGTTTTTTCTGGGTTTTGGGTTTATCTTGTCAAATTTGTTTAGGGGGCGAGTGATTGGGACCCTTAACCAATAAAGACTAGCCTAGTAGGGGAGCCCACTTAATCACAAATGAGGAGTACAAGATTGAATTAAATTAGGAAGAATTAACCCAAATAGTCGTCCATCCTAGAATTTAAACTAAAAATAGCCAACGAATATATATTATATGTATAGTTTATGTATTAAATATATATAATCAATGTATAATCTATATATATGACTATAAAAAATAGACAATTAATGTGGCCGGTTATTTATGTAAAAATCACTTGAATTAAAGGTAGATGAACAGCTGGATCTTAGGTGGTAGGAACATGACACTGAGGATCCTAAATGCGCGGCACTAGAAATTAATGAAACAATATTTCCACCCTTTTGTTTACAAATGGGATTTAATTCTTGATTTCTTCATTTAAAGATGGCCAAATTTATGTAACACATTTGCAGACAAGGCCACTATGAGAATTATGCTCGCAATTTTCAATTTATATGAACAGCTTGACTAAGTACGATGTATAAGAAAATATATATTTTTTAAAATTATTATTAAATATACCACAAGATTGCAATGGTTATAAAGACATGTCATTGAGATAAAATAAAATTTAAAGCTAAATTATTTTCAAATTTACTTTTTAAAATAAATTAATAAAAAAATAATATCACATAATATGATACAAATAAAATAATAAGAACTGCTCTGCGAGTAATAAGCAGTTAAATGAGATGAGGTGTCTCCTCTTATTCAATCAATTGTCAATAAATTCTCAAGTCTTTGTGGAGAGATCCTCGAAGTAATGTAATACGAATTTTTATAAATGCAAATGCAATAATTATAAATAAATATTTTGGGGTTATTAATTTACCATTATTATTGATAATCATCCGTATCTGGCATTTATACAAATAAATATTAAAATTATCTACAATGTCAATGAATACAAATTAAAACTCTATTTTTGAAAAGTTACCCCTCCCTAATATAACATAGCCCACATCAATCCAATATATTTACATTGTATTAGTGGAAAAAGAAACAGAAAATAATAACACGAACACGTAAAAGAAATTACTACATAAATTTTTAAAGTAATTTATTTCTTTTATGAGTTGTAAATTAATTTAAAGGTCAAATTTTTAATCATAATAAATGCTACCACCGGATAAAGATGCTAAAAACTTTTGTGATAAATCCCTATAGGAATGATTTTCATTAAACATTTTTACTGCAACATACTCTAAACTCTAAAGTCTAAGCAATTTGAAGAAATCTCATAAGCAAAAATATTTGAAGAAATCAGGAAAAAAAGCAAACGTGGCTATGGCAACGAGTTCAATCCGACGTGGCAATCAAATAAGAAAAAGGCAAACGTGGCTCATTATTATTGGATGATGACACCAAAGGTACTCCGATGACGTGGACCGCCGTTCCCATTAAAAACAAATACTTCTCCGCCGTAGCTCCTTCGATTCTCCGGCACCGGGAAAAATTCACACGAAAAAGGAGAGAACGCAAATGGCGATTAAGCCATATATGAGATCGATTTTGATTGTTGCTATTGCTTTCTTATCTGTTTTACCAGCTACTCTCTGTATCGAAGATAAATGTGCTGCTTGTACTGCCATTGCTGTAAGTATTCATATTCTCTTCTGCTCATTTTACGCCAATGTATAAAGATGCATTCTACCTTATTTTGTTCGTATGGTCTAGCTTAGAGAACCTTTAATTCGATTAAAGACAAATTAATTCACCTCAATTGCTGATTTAAATAGACTACTCCAACTAATTTGAGATTGAGAAGTGATTTATTTGTTTTTGTTTGTTATGAATACATGATTGTGATAAAGATTAAGCCTTTTTAACATTTAATGATAGTGAAAATAGCCAAATGAGAATTTACATGTACTGACAATTGATTCAAGTGTGGCACCTAATTTGGCTCTGACTCATTTATTTTCATGACTCTCGGGAGGAGCCGGAGCGTGGACTCTTGAAAGTATGAATATCATGTCACTTTGTTGATCTTTGTCTTTTGTGTTGTGTATTTACCTTGTAGAAATTGTCCTACCTCAATCTCTAGGAATAAAATGAAGAAAAGCAAATCATCCTAGCTGTCTGCCATGATATTATCTCACCCAAGGTTTAAAATGGAGATATTAGGTTCTTCTAGCGTGATTTGTAAAATTGGATACTTATATATGACTGTGCAGTGAGAACTTCTTCTTACAAGGAAAGACAGATGAAGTTGTGTTAGTCAAGATTGATGGTTTTGAAATACGGATGGAAACATGTCGAAGGAACTCGGCAGAATGACCCCGTAACTTTGGGAGAAAAGGGTGTTGATAGGTTATATGTATCCCTGTTATGTTTTGATAATCTAACAAACTTAATGATAAGAACCAGATAAGCAAATTGTTACACATCTTCAAGTACTTAAAGAACAACAAGTCTCAAGTCAGGGACGTGGTTCAACTCTTCAGAGTCAAAGAAATAACAGAGGGAACAGATGACCACCAGTTCCCTTGGTGACTGTACAAGTCAACTCTCCACAGATGTAAAGTTGCTGCTTGCACACGAAACAGTGCAAAAACAGTGCAACAGTCAACTTTATGGGGAATGCCCTTTACCTAACTTGCTTGCATCATTCAAGTGATGTCACAAATAAATTATTAACATCAAGCAAAAGTAAAACAAAACACTTGCACATTCAAGAATCGATCAAGCATTCTCTCAAGTTTGTGTCAATCTTGCAAGTGATTCTCAAGGGCATCAAGAACAAAGAACAACGTAACGAAGGACCAGTTTCCTGTATTGAGTCATTACATGTCCTAAGTTGTGTTGCACCTTTATTAAAACACTTTACTTGTAATTCCTACTTAGCTTAGTTAGAAGCATTGTGTAGAAAATCTTTGTAAAATCATAAACCTTGTGTTTGTGTCTTGGCTAGAGTTAGTCGAGTTGTAAGCTTTATAATAGAGTTATTACAAAGAGGCTTGTAAGAGAGTTGTTACAAGTTAGTGAGGGATTAAGAGGTTAATTTTTAGGTTACAATAGTTTGTAATCTGAAGTTTGCTCATTAGTGAAGTTGAAATCCTACAAGGGTAGGTCGTGGTTTTAATCCCGTGAGTTGGAAATTTTTCACGTAAAATTCCATTATGTCACTTACTTACTGCAATGTGCGTGTGTTCTGTGGGAACTTATAGAGAACTTGGTTCTCTACATAGTTTGGTGGACCCTTAGTTTCTATTAATTAGTATCATAGCAGTTTCTTTCTAAAAGGTTAGCAACTAGAAAGGATCTTCATCATGGCTGCTCCACCAAACTTCGAGGAAGGACAATCAACGTACAGACCACCTAGATTTAACGGCCAATACTATGGTTGGTTGAAAACAAGAATGCATGATTTCATCATGGCTGAGGACTTAGAGTTGTGGGATGTAATATGTGACGGACTGTCACGGCCTAATTTAGGATCGTGACCGGCGCTTAGGAGCAAATGCTCCAAAGTAAGCCTCATCCGTATTTTACAGAAAATCGGGTAGAGTTTTCCCTATTTTTGGACTATCCAAAAAAATTTCCTGTCTCAAAATCAACAACCAACCATCCTAATATCAAACCAAACAATCGATAACTTATAATTTAACTAAAACAAGACTCCACCATTACTAATCAACCCACTAACAACCAAAAATATTAATTTATCTCCAACTTTGATAATAAAGAACGATACTCAACATAAGATTATAATAACAAAAGAATATTCATGATACAAAATATTGACTATGGAGCGACTCTAAGAGTTTAAAGAAAGACCATAACAATAAATAAAATCTCCGCCCACGCGAACAAGTGCGAGGCTCACCAAGAACTATCAACCAGTGCGTTCTAATTAACGAAATCCTCGCCCGCGTCAACTGATGTCTCTATAAAAAAAAATTAGCGAGGAATGAGTCGCTAGCTCAGTGAGTAATAACACTTAACCACAATCGTTTTTATTGGGGACAAGTCAGAAAACATGTTAGTATCTCAAACAGAAAATAACATAAAAATGCCCTTTTCAGAAATAATAAATAATTTTCAGTCTCATCATGCTTTTCTTGTAGTATAATACAATTAACAATTCAGTAATAAGTTCGGTAACCACTGTATAATATCAATATTCACATTTGGGAGGTTTCAATGAACGAATCATGTAATCGGTATAACTGTGGACTTCTTCGCAAGAAGTCAAATATAACGGTAGTCCCTACTCGAGGAAAATCGGTAACGGTATGCAAGTTCTACCTTCCCACTAGCGAGGGCTGTAACGGTAATCGGTAATTACAAGGTGCACCAGGTCTAACGAACCCGCTGTTAGCTACGAGATCCTTCAAAGTCTACTCCCATTTATACTTGTCTATGTATCCGTATATACTCATAGAAAAATATTTTAAAATAATATAGGGCATTTCGGTTCTTATCAAATCATGTAATTTCATTTAGATAACAGTAAATTCAAGTGACGGTAAAACAAATCTAGTGACAACAAGAATATTTAAAACAACGGTAATCATCTCAAATAATTATTTTGGCATCATATCGAGTAAAAGACTTCTCCCACATGCAACTCAAAATAATCGGTAACATATTCATATTGAAAATCAAGTGTAAATCATGCAAGTTATGAAAACACAAATTGCGGTAAGATTACGACTTATAGTACTCGTGCCGAAATACCAAATGCTTCACCTCGAGCAATTCGTACAACTTCCTCCAATTAATCTATTATTACATAATATCGATCTCATCTTAATTGCCTCATTTAGGCTAAATCCATCACTAATTTAGAATACCCAATCCTCCGAGTTTTATATTTTATCATCAATTCGCCGAATTATATTTACCCATGCTATGAGTAATTTAAATTAGTCCAAAATCTTTTGAATAAAAAGGTATTTATATGGTTTATTCCCTCTACTGCTCAATTTTCTTAATCGTGTACATAAATTGAAACTGAAATAACCTTACTGTCCATAATATTTCTTCTTAATTGGTACTTATCTTTTGTACTCAATACTAGACTTACCACATTCAAATCCAAATTCGATATTGTCATTGCAATACTGTTAAACACCAAAACTTAATCCTTGCACCCTAACTTAATTTACACCTATCAAAGATCATATATAATGAAACTAGTTTAAGTACAAATACATCAATACCCTTCTTTTTCCAAGTGAATTTATCCTACAGTAACATTGACTAACTTCCAATTGCATAATTTGCCCAGAATAACTCTTATTGGTATTAAATTTCATATACCTTGTGAAACCCTTCAAATATATGAACTGAGACAAAAAGAATTACCACAAGAAAAGAATCCAGATGAAAAATTTGAGTATTACTCCTAAGAACCAGTGCATATTTAAAATTTCTCAAGGTTTGGTTCCAGCCTTTTTCTTTTTCTTCTTCTTCTTCTTCGTCTTCTTCCCCTTTTGAATTTTTTTTCGGCGTTCCTGAAGCTTCTGCTTCGACGTAGCAGCAAACCCCCCTTTTTCCCTTTCTTTTCTTTTGGCAGATGGTTGCTTTACTTATCCTTTTTTTATTTGTTTTATTTTATTAATTTTCCTCCCCCCC